AAAATAGCCTTTATTTAAAGAGGGTAGCACTTAATAGCCAAAGGCTAATAAACTTGTGGCCCTCATATATTTTACGTCTCCTAATGGAGACGGGACCGCCATTTTACGTGGTCATCCGAGCCACGCGAAGGTCCAGCCGCCTGCAGGGCAAAGGAAGTACCTTCATTTCTCAGTTATTTTTAAGACCCTGAGTATTGGTCCGGCCCCGGGAATCGAACCCGCGACCTCCCGCTCTGCAGTCAAGCGCTCTACCGACTGAGCTAATCCTGCCGCGGTCAATTCTTTTCTTAAAAATGCAAATCAAAAACAATTTACTTACGTCTTCAATTATTTTTATCAAATTGAATTGTAACGTCATCGCCAATCAGCACAAATGGAGCCCAGTACTTCGGGGCAGAAAAGCTTTCCGAGTCCCGGAGACATTTCATGGCCTTCTGGAGAGCATAACTAGCAGTTTCGCCAGCTCTCATGTGTTGGTAGAAACTTTTCATAAACTCCATTGTGGCTTCGTCATCGATTGCCCAGAGTGACACTAGCACAGAACGAGCACCAGCAAACAAGAAAGCCCGCGCCATACCGACGACGCCTTCGGAGCTAACTTCTCCTTTACCACTATGGCAACAACTGAGAACAACCAGCCTCGCTCTCAACTCAGTAGCTTGTATATCAGACATATTCAAAATATAATCCTCTTCCATCGGAATAGGATTCTTTGATTCCCACCCGGGGTTTGGTGCCAAGGCAATTTCACCAGTTTCCTTTCTTCCGTGGGCTGCAATGTGAACTAAAGCGACTGACTCTATTCTTTTAAGCACCTCCTGTTTTGTTGCAGCTTCTCCTGTAAGTGGTTGGCCGTTTAGAACTCCTCCAATCATCTCTACTTCCTTTTTTGCGTAATTAAGTTGCTTGTAAATGGGCTTACCCCAATTATTTGTAACTTTCTCCAGACTTGGATCTCCAACAAGCAGGACTCCATCTTTAGTGTGGTGATCAGTTGAAGAATCAGCGATCAGCTTCAAAATTGAAAGTGAGGGAACAGTGCGAATCCTTAATGATTCACTTAGGGCTGCCCATGGAGCTAAAGACAAAGCACCATCAGGGACTACAATAAGTTCATCACAATTAAGCAAGTCTTCAATGGGACCAATAACAACATCATATAGTGGCTGTAACCAGTCGGTATTCCTGTATGAAGGCTGCAATATTCGACCGTCGCCTCGAGTACTAGGAGCTGGATTCTGTGGATTGTCGCTTATCTTATCCAATGAACGATTCTCGCATCTTACATCGACCCCAGCATCAATTTTTTTCAAAGCAGCTTCCAAAAGGAAAGCGAATGGCTCTTCGTGTGCTCTTTCTCTTCTTAACTTTGCTTGCCTGAATACAGCTTTGCTTTCCTTTCCCAATACCCATAAATTCAGTGTTTCATTTTGTATTGCAAGAAAAACTGTCAAAGTAGATCTTTTTCTTGGAGTGTTTGTAACCTCTTCTTCAGATTTAGTGCACCTGTGTGGAAATGATGGAAAGCCATATTTTATTTCCAACGCGTCTAGCAGGGCTTGTGCTCTTCCTTGCTCAGCAGCGTCTAAAGCCTCGTCCGTCTTTTGTAGCATTATAAAAACTTGCCATAAACAGTTGTAGGCATTTTTCGAAACCTCCCGCAAACTTATTTTCCAGACATCTTTGGAAATTAGACTGCCTCTAATAGTGTCTCGAGTTTCTACGCTCGATCTAAAATGAGCTAAAGCTTCATTTAAAGAATCTGAATTTAAAAAAGAGATGCCTAGATTATAATAGGCATGTCCTTCTCCTGCCTTGTCGCCAACGTCCTTGGCAATACTGAGGTGTTTCTCGTGGTATTCTATTGCTCGTTGGAAGTCACCGAGTGATATATAAGCAATGCCGAGACCGCTATAGGCACGTCCTTCTCCGGCCTTGTCGCCGACATCATTGGCAATTTTGAGGTTTTTCTTCTGGTACTCTATTGCTCGTTGGAAGTCGCCGAGGTTTTGATAAGCACTGGCGAGATTGCAATATGCATGTCCTTCTCCTGCCTTGTCGCCGACGTCCTTGGCAATACTGAGGTGTTTCTCGTGGTATTCTATTGCTCGTTGGAAGTCACCGAGTGATTTATAAGCAATGCCGAGACCGCTATAGGCACGTCCTTCTCCGGCCTTGTCGCCGACATCATTGGCAATTTTGAGGTTTTTCTTCTGGTACTCTATTGCTCGTTGGAAGTCGCCGAGGTTTTGATAAGCACTGGCGAGATTGCAATATGCATGTCCTTCTCCTGCCTTGTCGCCGACGTCCTTGGCAATACTGAGGTGTTTCTCGTGGTATTCTATTGCTCGTTGGAAGTCACCGAGTGATTTATAAGCAATGCCGAGACCGCTATAGGCACGTCCTTCTCCGGCCTTGTCGCCGACATCATTGGCAATTTTGAGGTTTTTCTTCTGGTACTCTATTGCTCGTTGGAAGTCGCCGAGGTTTTGATAAGCACTGGCGAGATTGCAATATGCATGTCCTTCTCCTGCCTTGTCGCCGACGTCCTTGGCAATACTGAGGTGTTTCTCGTGGTATTCTATTGCTCGTTGGAAGTCACCGAGTGATTTATAAGCAATGCCGAGACCGCTATAGGCACGTCCTTCTCCGGCCTTGTCGCCGACGTCATTGGCAATTTTGAGGTTTTTCTTCTGGTACTCTATTGCTCGTTGGAAGTCGCCAAGGTTTTGATAAGCACTGGCGAGATTGCAATATGCATGTCCTTCTCCTGCCTTGTCGTCGACGTCCTTGGCAATACTGAGGTGTTTCTCGTGGTATTCTATTGCTCGTTGGAAGTCACCGAGTGATTTAAAAGCAATGCCGAGACCGCTATAGGCACGTCCTTCTCCGGCCTTGTCGCCGACGTCATTGGCAATTTTGAGGTTTTTCTTCTGGTACTCCATTGCTCGTTGGAAGTCGCCGAGGTTTTGATAAGCACTGGCGAGATTGCAATATGCATGTCCTTCTCCTGCCTTGTCGCCGACGTCCTTGGCAATACTAAGGTGTTTCTCGTGGTATTCTATTGCTCGTTGGAAGTCACCGAGTGATATATAAGCAATGCCGAGACCGCTATAGGCACGTCCTTCTCCGGCCTTGTCGCCCACGTCATTGGCAATTTTGAGGTTTTTCTTCTGGTACTCTATTGCTCGTTGGAAGTCGCCGAGGTTTTGATAAGCACTGGCGAGATTGCAATATGCATGTCCTTCTCCTGCCTTGTCGCCGAGGTCCTTGACAATACTGAGGTGTTTCTCGTGGTATTCTATTGCTCGTTGGAAGTCACCGAGTGATTTATAAGCAATGCCGAGACCGCTATAGGCACGTCCTTCTCCGGCCTTGTCGCCGACGTCATTGGCAATGCTAAGGTACTTCTCATGGTACTCTATTGCTCGTTGGAAGTCGGAGACGCTTTGATAAGCATTGCCGAGATTGCAATAGGCACGTCCTTCTTCAAACCTGCTGTTATTTTGCTTGGCTTTTAAAAGGCACTCGGTAAGATTTTGAATACGCGTTAGTATTCTCTGGGTCATTGTTGAATGTTCACATTGCAATTAAGTGTAATGGTTTCTTGAAGGTTATAGGCCTAGTGAAAAAAAACTGTTGTTAATGCAAACATAAAACAGGTACCAAATAAGAAAAGGAAAAGGTTTTTCTTTAATTGACTAGTCATAATTACATAGACTTTAACAACTATAGCCCCCTCCACCGCCCCCTTCCCGGCCCCTTAGTGGACAGCGTTTAAAGGTGGTCCCAAATCTTCCTGTCGGACTTAACCGAAAAAGTCCTTTTCATTTGATTTCTAATCGAAATTTCCGGACGTTTGGGAGAAATAGAGAGCACCCATCATTTTTTTCATACGTTTGTAGACATCGTTCGAATTTCTGCCTGCCCGTATTGCTTTTATTTTATTTTCATTTTTTACCTGTGAAAACCATCGTTCGCTTTTGTGATTGCCTAGATCTCATCTGCGTATAAAAATTTGCTAAATTGCTTTTAGTGGGTACATCTCAGTATGTATATGCTGCAGTTTTGAAAAATTTACTTCCCAAAAGTTTTTATTGGGCGAAGAACTATCTTCAAAGTAGCCACTATAAAGACTAAGAGTGAAAGCAATGTTTTTTTTCTTTTTTCCTGGTGGTTTCTTGGTGTTGCGAATCACCAAATGACGAGAACCTATTTTGTTCTATTCTAATAGTTTGTCACTATTAGAATCCTCCTTCGGTAAACGAATGCAGAATTTCTGTCGGGCTAAGGAAACCATTTAAGTTCTATTTGATTGACGGATCAAATCATGCGTGGAAATCGGTAAACAGTTACATGGGCAAAAGTTTGATCTTTACAGAATTTTCAAACATTGCAAATCAAATCACAGTTAAAAAATCCTTTCGGAAACAACAACCTGATGGATAATACGGAACTGCCAGAAGTTTAAATCGTACTTCCCAGCCTGAGAAGAAAGGTAGAGCTTTGTTTTCATCTGCCGACTTACCAAGTGAGGGAAAAAGCTGTTTTTTTGTGCAGCTTGTGTTGTTGTTCGTAAGTACAGACAATGGTGTTCGGGTGTAAGGCGCCGTTTCTCTGTTAGTTTTCTCTGTCCTGTTTAATTGACATCTCGAGTTTTCGTAAAGATTTGCTTTTTTTTGTCATAAGTTGGTTTCTGGGGAAAATTCGTCTTGATAAAGGGCATATTGAGTTTACAAAACCACTTTAGTTGACTTATACTCCAAAAATACCGCTTAAGTTACCTCTCTTTTGAATACTTTGAAGTCTGCTATTCTCACCTTCAAAATATCAGCCCTAGGATTTTGTCGAATTCTGAAAGGTTCTTTCTCTAAAAAAATTGGCAAAACATCGAGCTCCCGCATCATTTACCCACGAGTTTAAAACACTACAAAGATCAATGAGTGAGTATTCTAAAACTGATTTTTGCTTGTAAAGCTATATTTGTGTAAGCTTATTTGTGTTTTTCCATTGGAATAAATACGATAGCATGGTAATATCATCTGGAGTTTATTTACTTTATGTGGTTTTACCAAGCCTCATATTTTGCTCATACACCTGTAATAATTAACCTTAACTGATTCTACACCAGAATGTGTAGGTAAGATTTCCATACAACCCCAAACATTTATCATGTGTGTTAAATAATAGCGGAGCTCTCGCGCGCGAAGCGCGCGCAGCTGCAGAGCACCATGGGAAGAAAACTTAGTTATCTGCCCATCCGAGAAAATTCGGTCATGACGTCAGCGTACTCCGTCCTTCCGCACACTCTTTGGGGGTGAGGGAAGGGAATCACAAGTGTCAGCCCGTCGGGGGAGGAGTATGTTATAGCTAAGGCGAAATTTTTCATTGCAAGCACCTTGCTCGTTTCGGCGGAAAATCGCATGGCCGCCAGCGCCTTTAGAGGACAAAAAAAAAAAAAAAAAAAATAAAAAATCTTTTTTTCCACCAAATTTAAAAAAAAACAAAAAAAAAAAAAAAAGACAAAAAAAAAAAAGCGAGAAAAAAATAAAAACAAAGAAAAATTTAAATGGAATAAAAGTATACTAGCGGAAATGAAAAAAAAA